TTCTTGCTTGACTTCCTGTTTAATCAGTTATTTCAGCATCATTTACTACTTGTAAAACAAAAAAAGATGGATGGTATGCAATAAATATAAATTGATTCAGCATGAAAAGAATTAATTTTGATGAGAAAATAAGTCTCTTAGAGGACTGAAATTTGTTCAGCGAAGAAGCCTATGTGAGTTCTGTCATGCTTTTTACATGTCATGTTTGAACATTAGTGAGTGCTGTTAGCATCTATGAACTTTTAGTTATTTAATTCTGTGCTCTACAACTGTGATGTAGCAGAAGTTCTTTTTGCGTTCTTCCTCCTAATGAATATACAGTACCATAGTTGTTCATTGTCACTTAATACTGAAAACGACTGTGTGAATTAACCAATCCTTAGAAACTTGTTCAGTGACATGACCATAGTTGGGGGAGCCATAATTTGAAAATCAGATTTTTACTTCAAAGTTATGTTTTTTAATTTTTAATTTTTGTCTTTTTGAGACAGGGTTTTGTTATATAGTTCTTGAACTATCTTTGTATCCCAGGCTGACCTGAAGCTCACAGTGATCCTCCTGCCTCATCCTCCTGAGTGCTGGGATTACATGTATGAGCCACTACACCTGGCAAAAGTTGTGCTTTTAAAAACTAGGTTACAGCCTGCTTCTCTAGCCTGCAATCAAAAAGCTACAAAGCTGACCCTCTGCAAGGTGACTAGGTTTATTTATTGCCTGCTGCTATCCTGCTGTTGCCTTCATTTTATTGCCCAAGTTTATTGAACAGAATCATATGTGACTCTGGTTTATGTTGAATACTCACTCACCTAGTGTTACTCATGCTCAGCCAATAATAGGAATCACCTGGAACTTTCTTTTTTTTTTTTTGCATTTTAGGGAAGGGTCTACAGGGTATTCAGGGTCTCTCTACTAGATCAGACTCATAGTGATCCGCCTGTTTACAGCCTCCCAAGAGCGGGATTACAGGCTAGTGCCACCACACCCAGTCTCAGTTGCCATCTCAGCACGCCCTGGGGGTGGGGCCCGCATGGCAGGCCTGGGGATCAAACCCCAACCCCTGCACTGCTTGCATGCGCTAATCCGCTGAGCTATTTGGCCAGCCCTGGAACTTTTTTTTTTTTAAATTATGATTCATTGGCTTTGAAATAGAGCCTAAGAACTTGTGTTATAACTAGTGCTATGTGTGAGTTTTGAGAATCTGACTGGTTTGACCACTTTAGTTACATGAGCCTCCCCAACACCTTCATCACTTTCCCTGGCAGGTGTTGATATCCTCTTGTTGTAGGAAGGTCATTTTATCAGTAGTTACATGCAGTGCTGTGCTTCTGTATACGGTTTTTACTTGCTTCTCCATATGAGTTGTATCAACTTGTTGGACAAACTTGTTTGTTTGTTTTTTGAGATAGGGTCTGGTCTCACTGTATAGTTTAAGCTGACTTCAAACTTTCAGCAATCTGCCATAGCCTCTTGAGGGCTGGGATAAAGGTGTGTACCACCGTGTTCTGCTTGGAATATATATATATATTATATATATATATAATATATATATTTAATATGTATTATATTAAATTTATATATATATTTAATATAATATATATTTAAATACATATATATTTAAATGTATCAGTTTTTTAAAATTTTATTTTATTTTATTTTAGGGAGGGGTCTACAGGGTGTTCAGGGTCTCACTACTAGATCAGACTCATAGTGATCCGCCTGTTTACAGCCTCCCAAGAACTGGGATTACAGGTGCGCCCCACCACTCCCAGTCTCAATTGCCATCGGCACGACAGGCCCTGGGATTGAACCGCTGAGCTATTTGGCTGACCCTTAAATGTATCAGTTATTTAATTAGGTTCTTAGTAAGAAATTTAGAACACTAATTTATGAGTATATATTCCATTTGTCAGAGCAAAAATGGATCGCAGGTATCCCTGGAGCTGAGGAGCAGCTTTGATTTTTGGTAAAAAATCTGAGTCCTCTGCTTTCTGATCCACATTAAGGTGCGCTGAAATCTGGTATCTCTCTTGGCATTAAAGATCTCACCCTCTCCTGGTCTGGGTTTCCGCAGCTGCTTCTTCCTGAAGTAAGCATCAGTGAGGTGTTTGGGGGTTTTCACTTTGCTGTTAGCAATTTTTGTAGAGGTGGCAATGACAGATTTCTGGTGTGTTCTTTGTAGAGGAACACGATTAAGGCTCAGAGGCCCAGTCACAAGTAGCACGCCACTGGCCAGCTGCTTCAGGAAGACCACTCTCTTGCCCCTGTGACACCCAGTGAGGATGATCAAAATGGCGCCAGGAGTGATGCTAGCTCACAGTTTCCTCACATGCTGACTGAAGGGTGTCTTGCTGTGGCTCAAGAGCTTTCAGGGCACATCTACTGTAGGGTAGCATCTAGGCATTTTTCTGGGTTTAACCACCCGGGTACCACCATTCTTGTCACCACTGACTGGTTTTGTGATCGCAGCAAGAATTTTCTTCCCCTTTTTCTTCTCAACCTCTGATTTAGCAGCTGTGTGCTTCCTCTCATACAAGCCCTTCTGAAAAAATAGCAGATCAGGAGTATCTACCAATTCTTCTAACCAGGACAGTATTTCAGCTGCAGTGAGCCTGCTCCTCCTTGCACTTTTTTGCCTTTCCCTTCCCCTTTTTACTAGTACCACTGGCAGCAGGCTTCTTGGCTTCAGGTTTCTTCTTTTTAGTGTCTGGCTTCTCAGTTTTTTCACACACCATCTTACAAGTTGGGAAAGAGCTCAAATTTATTGATTGATTGATTGATTGATTGATTGATTGCAGTACCAGGGATTGAACTTAGGACCCTGTGCTTGCAGGCAAGCACTTATTCTACTGAGCTATCTCCCCAGCCCTGAGCACATATATTTTTGATCCTCCTTAGGAATAGCTCTGAGCTTAGATCTGGTTTTCAGTGTCATCTAAACCTTAACCTTCCTCATGTATAAAATGGGTATATTGTTACCTTCTTTCAAAGATTATATAAAGAGCTAAATGAAAAAATAAACTGTCAGAGCTGGAAAGATTTTTTTTTTTTCTTTTTAGTAGCAGGGATCATTAAACTATACCTACAGCTTTTTTTAAAATTTTGAGACAGGGCCTTGCTAAGTGTCCCAGAGCTGGATTCTAATTTGCAGTTTTCCTGCTTCACCTCCTGAATAGCTGGGGATATAGGTGTGTACCACCACACCAGCTGGGAACTCTCCTGAGTGCCCTCAGTCATCCTTTCATTATTGTTACTAATTCCTTGCCTTGTCACACCATTTTGGAGTGTTCTCATGTCTGTAGGTCTGTAGGCTGAAATGTAGCTGTGATAGAAGTGCCTAGATGCTCATTCTGCGATTTAGTAGGTGGTCATTTTTTCTCATCAGAATACTTTCTTCTGGCTTTTATCTGTGGACAAAGATTATCATACGTCTATGGGGACAGATAAACTTTACTTCTTAAGTAATTAAAGTTTCCTTTGACATAGTGAATCCAAAGCCAAATAAATGATCTTCAGGATGATCTTACTGGTAAAAGAAAAGACCTTGAATTATATAGAAACCAAATGGAAAACCAAAGAAAGCACTCCGTGTCTCTTTACTATCTAAGGGCTGAGACAGGTAATCATCAGTGCTGTCCACTGAAGAGGATAAGCGATCATGTGCGGGGCTGAATAACCTGTGTGGTTTAGACTGTGAGCTGCCCTCTTCTCCCTTTTACTTGGTACAGGGCCTCACTACACAGCTTGGATTTGTAATGATCCTCCTGTGTCATCCTCAGCGCTGGGTTCACAGGCCTGCACCACCATGCTGAGTCTCAGTGGCTGGCTCAGCCCACCCAGAGGTGTGGCCCACGCGGCATGTGGTGCTTGGGATCAAGCCCCAGTCCTGTGCTTGTCTAAGCAGGTGCTTAGTCTGCTGAGTTATCTCGCCCGCCCTTGTCCTCTTCTTTAGATTTGAATTACTTAAGAATATGTAGGTGAAGAACAAAAAAAAAAAAAAAAAAGAATATGTAAGTGATAATTCCAATGGGTTTGAGCAAAATATGGTGAAAGTTTTTTTTTTTTTTTCTCCCTTCACTTAGTTTGCACTGGTTCTCTATTTTCAATTTTTGAAAAAAAAAATCTAACATGAAAAACACTACTTTGAGTTTTTGTTTTTCATGTGAATGCGTTTCAAAAGATAATTTGAGTGCTTTGAGCACTTTTATTTTTAAAAAGTGTCTAATGTATCAAATTTATTGTCATAAATAGTAAATATATTCATTATAATTACACTGCAGTTACAGTCTTTTCAGAAAAGTGTTTGTAGGGTGAGTTCTTATTTGTGGTCCTCCTTTGGCAGGGAAGATCTCTTTGTATTGATAGCAGAGGCAGGGAGTAGAATAAAAGGCAAAGCCAACCCACTTTTTTTAAAAAAAATTTATTAATATACATTACAGTATGTAATGCCTTGTTATCTTGAATATAAGATCTTATCAGAAAAAAACAACCTTGAAAACTAGAGATCAAAACTGCCAGCATCAATCTGTCAGCACTATTTTCTTGCTTCTGGTGGCTACTATGTAGGGCAGGTTCTTTCTTTCTTTCTTTCTTTCTTTCTTTCTTTCTTTCTTTCTTTCTTTCTTTCTTTCTTTCTTGTCTTTCTATTGAACTCACAGCAGTCCTCCTGCCTCAGCCTTCCAAATGCTGATAGTCCAAAGCCAATTTACTTGATTCTTCCTTTTAAATTTACTTTTTTAGTTTATTTGAGAGAAAGTCAGTGTGAAGAGGGGGAGCATTTCTATTATAGAATATCAGGGGAGAGGAAGTAATTTAATTAGTTAAAATGGGAATGTGTATTAAACAGAATGGTGCCAAGTCATTATTCTTGATGAAGAGAATAGCTGTGCTATTTATTAGAAGTGTCTAAATTTCATTCGTATCAAGTCCACAGCAGGAAGCAAATGATATATTAATTTTATGAAGTAATTTTATGTATTGTCTTGTTCTGTTTTTATTTTTAGGACCGGAGTAGGCCCTATGACACTTTTAACTTGCACTCGTTGGAGAACTCCTTAATGGATATGATAAGGACTGATCATGAGCCCCTGAAAGGTAAACACTACCCTCCCAGTGGCCCACCAATGAGTTTCGCTGATATAATGTGGAGGAATCATTTTGCAGGTTAGGAATATTCATATGTCCATTCCTTGCTTGGTGTTTTAAGCAAAAATCAGCTTTTTAATATGTGATTTGTTTTTGGTTTGTTTTTGTTTTTGTTTTGCTTCTGTAAAGCACTGTGGAATGTATTTAAAGTTTATTTTCTTCTTTTGTAACCTGGGTTCAGCTGCCTTCAGTAATCAAGGTTGATTGCTTTAATCAGTAATGTCTGGAAGAAGCATGTGTTATAGTTGAGTCATTGTTATAACCTGAGACCAGAAGCCAAATTTTCTGGGCTTTGTGTGTTTGGAATCCTCAGCTGAATCTAGATAATTCTTTTAAATATAGGTATACTGAAAGAAAGTGTGAAATTTAGTAAATCAGTTTCCAAAGATTATAGAAAACTTCATATGAAAGTTCTATTTTATTAAACTAGAATCACTTTCTTAATATAAAAATTATAACAGACTTAAAAGTAGCTAGTGACCTTTGTATAGTCTGAGACTAAAATATAAGCAGTGTCTAAAAGTACTTGAACACTGAGTTAAATATAAGGCGAAGAATCCTAGGTCAGCAACCTGAGTCTTAAGGAAACACTCATTTCCTTAAGAAGCACTAGAAATCTCTTTCATCATTTTCTTGTCAGACTTATGATTTTCTAATTTTCTAATAAAAAGCAGTTATAGGTTATGAAAAAAAACATTTTGAATGCAGTGTGTTATTTGTTGAATCTGTACTTCCGATTTGATCTGAAACTGTCTCATTGCTATCTGTTTATCAATAAAATTTTTAAAAAAACATTTTGAGAAACTAGATTTTAAGGCCTTTAGAAGCAGGGAAAATATTTATTGTTTAGTCATGTTTCCTCAGTTGTGGGTTGGGTGTGAGGTCATGTAAAGCATATTTCACTTAGAAGTGATTTTTTTTTTTTTTTTTGCTAGCTCAGGTTGCCTTAAGGGCAGGTCTGGTAAGGCATGAAGATCTGGAGATCGAACCACAGAAGCCTGAGCCTGACTGCTTTGCTTAAGCAGGCACTTAAACTACTGAGCTAATGAGCAGGCCCCCTATAGAAGTGAGAATGATGTTTAAAACAACACTAACAGATTGTTTTTTGCTTTTAGAATTTTCTTTTCTTTTTTTTTTTTTTCCTATATTTTAGGGAGGGGTCTACAGGGTATCAGTGTCGCACTACTAGATCACACTCATAGTGATTCTCCTGTTTACAGCCTCCCAAGTGCTGGGATTATCGACATGTGCCACCACACCCAGTCTCAATCACAGTCTCAGCATACACTGGAGGTGGGGCTGGCTCGGCAGGCCTGGGGATCGAACTCCTGGCCCCTGCACCTGCTTGCAGGCGCTTTAATCCAATGAGCTATTTGGCTGGCCCTCTTTTAGAATTTTCTAAGGCTTCTTTTGTCTTCCTTCACCACTTTGAATAGCTATAAGCTTTTTCTAATTTTAAAGTATTCAACTAATTTTTTTATGAATAACTATTTTATCTTCATTGGTATTCTTCTTTCAGTAAAGGATTATGAAAGGACCTTACATTATAATATATAAAATAATTTTCTAAAATTTTATGTGTTTTGGTTAAACTATTGTCCTCTACTGAGTGTAGCTCTGGTACATAGTAAGGATGGTACTTCACTGTGGGGTAGTGTGGATACCTTATTCCTTTGATGACTTTTTTTAGTGGAGGTCCATCTGCCCTCTGTATAATTTTTTTTTAATAGCAACTATGAGGCTTGATTTGTATAATTATCTGTACTATATACCTCTATATCCCTTTTTGTTGTTGTTTTTGAGTGTGTATGTGGTACTGGGGTTTGAACCTAGGGCTTTTGCCCTAAGTTATGTCCTCAACCACCCACCACCACTCCTTTCTAATTTTTAATTTTGAGACAAGGTTTTGCCAAGTTGCCCAGGTGGGCTTGAACTGTTGATTCTCCTGCCACAGACTCCCAGACTTCTGGGGTTACAGGTGTGCACTGTCATACCCAATTGGTATCTTAAGTTTAAGGCACTCAGTTTACACTTTTTAAAAAGCCCCCATGTAGTTGCATTTTCCCAGGTCATCATATGATCTACAGTTATTTCTTATAAATAGACTACTGTCCTCAAAATGTCACTGTGTCATTGTAACTTGGGTAGGGTGTGTGAGGATCCTGCTTTCCTTTTGTAACTGGTAGACTATTCTTTTATGTTTGTGTGTGGTGAGGATTGAGCACAGGCGCTGACTGACACATACTAGATAAGCACTCTACCACTGAGGTATATCACCCACCCTGATCCTTACTACTTCTGACAAAATAATACTTTGACTTTAAAGAAAAATATTGGGCCAGGGATATAACTCAGCCCAAAAATATTGGGCCAGGGATATAACTCAGCATAAGCGCCTACCTGAGTTCAATTCCTAGTACGAAAAAAAAAAAAAAGCTAGTTTTTAGCTTTGAAAAATGAAAATTGCTGGGTGTGGTACCCTATGCCTGTAATCCCAGCTTTTGTGGGGGCTGAGGCAGGAGGATTGCTGCAAGTTTAAGGCCAACTAGACTACAAAGTGAGTTCAAGGCTGGCCTGAACTGAATAGTGAGACCCTGTCTCAAAAAAAAAAAAAAAAAGAAAAAAAAATTATTCGAACAAAAAGACAGCTAAATATAAAAGAAATATTATGGTGGTGTATCTTTTAATTTCTCATTTGATAAATATTAACAATTTTTCTCTCTGAAGTTTTACTTGTTTTTTGAGACTGTATATACTGAGTAGTTCAGGGTGACCTTGAACTTGCTCTGTAGCCCAAAGTGGCCTCAAACTTGTAGTCCTCTTGCTTCAGCCTCCAAACCTTTGGGATTATAGGCGTGCAGCAGCATGCCCAACCAGTTATTTTTTTATAATTTGATAGAACTTAAATTTAGCCTTTTAGGCTGTTCAGTTTTTTCTTTATTATGGGTAATGCTGCCTTGCATGAGTTCTGACAAATAGCTTTTTTTTAAATTTTTTTTTTATTTTAGGGAAGGGAATACAGGGTGTTCAGGGTCTCACTACTAGGTCACACTCATAGTGATTCTCCTGTTTACAACCTCTCAAGAGCTGGGATTACAGGCGCATGCCACCACTCCCAGTCTTATAAATAGCTTTTCTGTGGAAAATTCATAGTAAGAGTCTGGGTCAAGGGATGTAAACATCTAGATGATCAAGAGACAGATGGTAGGCTGTTTCTTTTTTCTTCTTCTTCTTCTTCT